CCCCCCCCCCCCCCCCCCGTCAAGTGTTGGATGCGTTTCTGAAAAAAATCATTTTAAAATGTCTCAAAACTTCATTTGTCTTCTTCTTAATATTGTAGTGCCATACAACAAAATTAATAGCCAATTTATTGTAATTTAACCAATTTATGTCGTTAGTCTGCATTATATTTAAAATCATAATTCTAATTCAATCAGAATAGCCTCTTTTCAACATAATTCTAGAGTGTGATTTATTTTCAACTCAAATTATCTTCAAACTAATGAAATATAAAGTTATTAATGATAAAAAACCCGTCTGGATTACAGCAGACTGACTGCTCGTAAAATATACCACAGGTCTGGACCACTCGTGAATTTTGTTCGTATCTGAAGAAAATCTTAGAATACGAAAAAAATTGGTCAATGCCACAAAAATCTGTTAGTACGAACAGTTCTTGCATGAGGCCCAATAACTCCAAATTTAGCACTTTTCTTGACGCTCAAGGATGCTTTAAAATTTCATGGATTATTCCTTCACTCCTCAGTCACACTTAGTGGTGGAAATGTGGCTGCCATCCTGCACCTATAGTCACTCCAACATATTTATACATGGGGAAGTTGGGTTGAGTGTCTTGTCCTGGGATATACTGTAATGACAGTATGCACTCGGGCAGAGATTTAAACCGGCAACACTCTGGTTGCAGGTCGATCATCTAACCCTGTGCCTCTGAAATCAAAATCTTCCTAATTACATGCCTTTTACAAGAACTGTCAAGCTCATTTAGTCTCTACACAGTCACCACTTCAAGGACAAGGCCTGGAAAAGTTTTTGATAGAGTCTAGTATAAAGTGAATAATTAAGGAGCTCTAAATCTAATTTTTAGGGGAAGCATTTCACACTGAGATTTTTTTTGTTATTTGTAATATTTGTACTAGTTTGCTGAAATGAAAATATTAGTTACAATAAACTAAAACACTTTTCTACAAAACTATTTATCAAAGTTTATTTGGTAGGAATCTATTAATAGAACAAAGAGTAAAAGTCTAAATTGCTCTACCAAAAGTCTTAAATGAGATGAGTCCATGTTAAAATCAGGACTAATCAGGATCTAAACAAAGACCCACAATAGTGCTGAAACATTTAATAAATCAATACCCAGTGGCAATTTTAGCCCTTTTTAGCAGTGCTCAAGCATCCCAAACTTGAACTCAGCACCCCTGAAAATAAAGAAGCTATCATTACTATTTTGTAAGGAAGTTTTATTCTCACTCATTAGAGTCACCAAAATATTGAATAAATTTAGAAATAAAAGCACTTGTAGAGCAACCACTCTGCCAGTCACGCAGCAACATGTTTGTATCTGGTGTGGTTAACACTCAAAAATCAGAGTTTTGTCCAGTCTTGAATGCATCACAGACTGGTGTGTACATTACGTATGTATATAAGTACGGATGTATATACAGTAAGTATGTATGTATATGTGTATGTATGTATGTACATATGTATACACAGTATGTATGTATGTATGTATGTATGTATGTATGTATGTATGTATGTATGTATGTATGTATGTAAAGTATGTATATATGTAATATGAAGACATCTCTTGGAGGAAAGACAAAATGTTTCATTAAAGAAAAACTTGTCCAAATAAACTACAAACTTCTTTTGATTTTTTCTACCTGGATTACTGAGATGCATCACGACAGCTGTATGGACAGTTTGTGAGGCGTTTAGAAATAAAACTAGATAATAAATAAAAGTTGTAGAGACTGTTGTGTTGTACATTATAAGCTCAATTCATTATTATAGTAGGAAGAAGTTGTCAGTGTTTTGCAGAGTGTCTGCTCAGAGCAGAACTCCCGTGTTTGTTTTGATTTGGCCCAAGGTTGTACGCTGAGGCCTGTGCTGCTGAGCGCTGAATGTACCTGATTGGAGTCAGAAGATTGAAAATAAAGTTTTGAAGAAGAAACCCAGCTGAATCCTTTTTATTCGGACATACCCTTTTGAACAACGCATATTTTTCCAACAATTTGGTGACCCCGACGTGATGGATGATCTTGAATTTTTGGCTTTTGAAGAACCTGAGAAGATTTTTGAAACATCAGCTGCTGAGAGTGAGGAGAGAGAAGCTTCAAGATGCCTCCTTTCTTTTCCAAAGAGGATTTCTGCCAGCTTCTCCAAAAGGTGACGGTGTTGGAGCTCAAGATTCATCGTCTAGAAGAGATGAATGCTTTGGAGAACTCAACATGCGTTCAAATGGGTCAGAAGGCTGAGATGAGAGATCAACATGGAGAGGAGATGGAAGCTGCTTCTGAGGGTGAAGCTGTATGGAACTCTCTTTGTGCCAGACCAAAAAATCTCTCAGGAAGAATTCAGCTTTAGATGACATCGAATGGTCAGAGTTACAGAGAAATGCTTTTTCTCCACCAGCAAGGAGAATAAAGTGACAGGCTGGAATCAAAACACCTGATAACAGCCAGAGAAATGGAGACGGGGCAGTGTTTCTTCAAAACAGATTCACACCACTGGAAGAAACTGAGTCTGAACAAAGTTCATCTGCTGATCTCAGAGAGGGACCTGAGATCAGATTCAGCTCAAAGCCAAAGCAAGTCCAAAAAGAGACTTTCAAGCATCAA